CCCTGGTGATTTAGGCAAATTGTGTTTGTCTAAAATCTGTACATGGATACTGTAAGAGTTACAATTAGTTTCCCATAGCAAGTGCCATTTTCTTTCTCTTGCCTCGCAATCTTCTTTGTTCTTACCTTGACCTTATACACAGAAAAGTTTCAGAAACTTTTGCTTTGGAGAATTGCATTACCTACATCAATCTACATTATCTCTCACATGGATGCCAACTTGTTATATCACAGAAAGCTTTACTACAAGGGGTTGAAAGAAAGATGTGATCTTGAAAATGTGATTAATTTACCGTATTTTTCAGACTATAAGACACACTTCTCCATCACAAAAAAAGTGGGTGGAAATGTTGGTGCGATTTATAGACCAAATATGGTATATAATCTCACAAATTTCATCAAAATCACATTTCACTACCAATAAAGGAGAATATTTTTGGCCTCCTGAAACATCCCCACGCACGTTTTTGGCAAAAACTGGATGCACAGAGGGTTTGGGAGGCCTGCAGACTGCTCCTGGGGGCTGGGGAGGGCAAAAACCAGATGCACAGAGGCCAAATTTTTTTTCTTGTTTTCCTCTTTGAAATTTAGGTGCGTCTTATACTCCCGTGCATCTTATAGTCTGAAAAATACAGGTAATATACAGAGAAAAACTATAATAGTCCACTGTCTTCCCTAAAATGAAAACAGGCAAAATAAATCAATCCTCAACTTATGACTGCAGTTGAGCCCAAAATTTCTGAGTCATTTTTTCATTAATTTTTGCCCCATTTTACAACCTTTCTTGCCTCAGTTGTTAAGTGAAGCACTGCAGTTGATAAGTTAATAACCCAGTTGTTAAGTAAAACTGGTTTCTTCATGGACTTGTTGTCAGTTGTCAGAATGTCACAAAAAATGATCACATGACCTTAGATTACTGCAACTGTCATTAATATGAAGCAATTACCAAGCATCTGAATTTTGATCACATGATCAAGGGGATTCTGCATAACTTTGAAAAATGGTCATAAGTCAGTTTTTTCAGTGCTGTTATAACTGACAATGATCACTAAACAAAGTGTTGTAAGTCAAGGACTATCTGTAATACTTTCCATGTCTTCAAATAATCCATCCAATCACCTATCAATCACCTATTCGTATACAAGAAATCTCACAAATTTCATCAAAATCACATTTCACTACCAATAAAGGAGAATATTTGTAGCTCAGGGTTGAATCATTTCAACCCTGAGCTACAAATATTCTCCTTATTGGCTCATCATATTTCAGTGAAACCAAGAAGAAATAGAAATCCAGACGATAAGCAGCTTTAGCTTCAAATTTATAATCTGGGTATAGTGGTAAAAAACAATCTCAGATATAAAGGCCGGACAAGGAATAATGGATGGAAGCAGATCAAGGAGAGATTCAACCTAGAAATAAGGTGAAATTTTCTGACACTGAGAACAATCCACTAATGCAGTGGTTCCCAATCTGTGGGTCAGGACCCCTTTGGGGGTCGAATGACCCTTTCACAGGGGTCGCCTAAGACCGTCAGAAAACACATATTTTCAATGGTCTTAGCAATAATATTATGGTTGGGGGTCACCACAACATGAGGAACTGTATTAAAGGGTCGCAGCATTAGGAAGGTTGAGAACCACTGCACTATTGGAACAGAAGTTGCCTTTGGAAGTTGTGGGAGCTTCATCAGTGGAAGTTTTCAAGAAGAGATTGGACTGCCATTTGTCAGAAATGGTGTAGGGCCTCCTGCTTGGGCTGGGAGGTGGGGGTTGGACTACATGACCTACAAGGTCCCTTCCAACTCTGTTAATCTGTATCTGTAAATGTTATCTTGAAAATTGCTATATTCTGTTATTGCCGATTGCAACTGGGAATGCTTAGAAATGCTAAATTAGGTTTGCAGTTAAAAAAATTGTACGAGCCGTACTTTGCCCTTCTGTGAGTGTTTTTTTAAAACATTTTTTTCAAATACACATTTATTGGGATTTTAAACAAAAAAGTTAAAAACTAACACCAAATGATCTTAAAAAAAGAATAACTGCAAAAAAGAAAAAAAAAGAAACAAGGTCAAACGTTTTACCTGCATTTTCAAGAAGACTCATTCTAATGTTATTCTGACAAAATTATGGGTATTTTTTTCTTTCAAATGTATGGAATTTCTAGTTCCAAAGATTTACTAAAGCTTTTCTCTGCATAAATGTCATTTTAAAAGCATACATATCTTGAAGATGAGCTTATACAATACCAGAAAAGTACTATTAAAGGTATTTTTCTTCTCCCCTTAATATCAGAATTTACAAGATTTGTTCCTTCATTCAATTTGAGTGATGGGCTACTGCTAATCATGTAATTCTCAAACAAATTCAGTATAGAGTGAGGTTGACCAAATCTGACTTATTTCTCAGATTTCAATATTTCTCAGTCTTGACCAACTCATCTCACAGACTTATTTTTTCTGTAAAACATATGTTGGATGGAGTATTCAGTATGTTTGAAGCCTTGAGTTTTATATAAAAGGAACAGGTGGGATAATAAAAGAGCCAGGAAAAAACACAGACTTCTCTCCAGCCAATCTGTGCTTGAAGAAAAAATAAAAACAAAGCAGAAAAGTCAGTTTGGAGTGTATTTGGATACCAAGAGAGGAGAAGATGCATCAAGTTAAATTGCTAGAAAATTTTCAGATTTTTTGCCTATTCAGATTATGATTCCCTTGTAGGAGTGTCTGGGCCTATGGGTGCTTCGTTTGAATTTCTCGCATTGTTTATTAAGATTTGTCCAATAGTAAAAGCAGTCTCAGGAAAGTGGCCCTTATGCAAAGCTCTGGGAGGACCTGAGTAAGGCAGAGAAAAACAGTATTTGGGAATGTAAAGGTAGGGAAATAGAGAAATTTATTTTGAAAGAAACTGTGGAGCCGTTGAATGTAAATCCTCTCCTCATTGGAAAAATTCTAATTTTTGTGAGTTAATTCATTGCATTTTCAATACTATTCCTACGCTAATCTGAGCAGCTTTCATTTCATATAAAACATATAAGGTAATAAGCTAATAAATATATATCAATATAAAAACCTAATATATGTCAGAATATTCATGACTGGGAAGACATGATAACAAGGTCAGCCAATGAATTGGCATAGCAACTAAAACAGCCAATGGGAGCTGAAACAGTTTGGAGTCTGGGCGTGGCTTAACTCTGTATGCTATGTTGAGGATTAAAACTGAAACTAGTCTGTCTGCTGTACTCTGCTTGGGATTTGCTTGTAACTGCTACCATGTTGGAAGAATCTGCTGTTGGTATTGTACATTTATTCATGTGTTATTATGTATATAAATGAAAGTTAATGAATTTTGCAGAATCAGTTATTTAGTAGCTTTAGCTTCAAATTTATAATCTGGGTATAGTGGTAAAAAAAAAAATCTCAGCTGTAGAGGTCAGACAAGGAATAATGGATGGAAGCAGATCAGGAAGGGATTTAACCTTGAAATAAGGAGAATTTTTTTGACAGTGAGAACAATCCACCAATGGAACAGAAGTTGCCTTCAGAAGTTGTGGGAGCTTCAGCACTGGAGGTTTTCAAGAAGAGATTGCACTGCCATTATCAGAAATGACATAGGGTCTCCATGACCCTATGACATAGAGACCCTACATTTGGGTTTGGGATTGTAATGGTAGGGAAATAGATAGATAGATATATATTTGAAAGGTACTGTGGAGCCACTGAATGTAAATCCTCTGCTCATTGAAGAACTCTCATGTCTATGAGTTAATTCATTTTATTTTCAATATTATTCTTAAGTAGATATGAGCAGTTTTCATTTCATTTAAAACATATCAGGTAACAAGCTAATAAATATATACACATATTAACATAGGAACCTAATATATGTCAGAATATTCATGACTGAGAAGACATGGTAACAAGGTCAGCCAATGAATCGGCATAGCAACTAAATCAGCCAATGGGAGCTAAAACAGTTTGGAGTCTGGCTTAGCTTTGTGTGCTTCATTGAGAATTGAAACTTAAGCTAGTCTGTCTGCTGTATTCTGCTTGTGATTTGCTTGTAACTGCTACCACGTTGGAAGAATCTCCTGTTGGTATTGTACATTTATTCATGTGTTATTATGTATATAAATAAAAGTTAATGAATCCTGAAGAATCAGTTATCTGTGTGTGCTCTCTGGATTTTATTTTTGCAACAAACTCTGACAATATATATATATTTCTATAGGTATCCCACCTGCAGAAGAGCTAAAATCACCCCATTTCCACAACAGAAGAGCCAGGTGTGACTTCTCAACTTGATAAAATGAGGGGTAGAAAATGGGGCCAATGAATAAAATTTTCAATAAAGCTACTTGACATCTTGGAAACCAAAGAGATTCTCTCATGTTAACAACAACCATGCATTTCCCAAAATACCCTTATTCTCTCCATTGTATTAAAAAATTCCAATGCAATTATTGTACTATTTATTTATAAGTTTATTTATTTTCAAACATTTATACAGCTAACTATCTTCTAACCAACTCTGGATGGTGGTTCCCAATCAAAAGTTAAAACCACCTATAAAATAATACTTAAATTATAAAAGAAAATAAATCAAAATATTAAAAACTACAAATACCCAGCCAGCTAATCTGACCCAGCACTTGGTGGAAAAGCCAGGTCTTCAAAGCTGCATGGAAGGCTAGGACGGAAGAAGTCTGCCAAAGATTAGGGGCAGAGTGTTTCATAAGGCAAGCCTGTAATGGAACAGGCACACTTCCTTAAAGGGACAGCTTCAATTACATATTCACAGCTTTCTTCAATATTTCAGATCACCCCTAAGATTACTCACGATCACCAGAAAAATGCCAAAAAATTACAGTATAGGATTTCACTATTTAACTGTTCTACAGCTCGGATAAAGCCTTAGAAATTGATTATATATGTTACATACATAAAGAAAAGAAATAGCATTGAATTGCATGATGAAGTTTGCGAGCCTGAATATTTGGACTTTTCCCATGAATGTTTTTGGTAACCAGGTAAAGGCTGAATTACAGAATTATTCATTGTTAATCTGTCCTCCTGGTTAGATGCTGTTTTGTGTTCAGATGTGGATTCAAGAGAATGATGTAGCATTTGGGCAGGAAGATGCAACCCAGGAGACCTGCAGTAGAGCCCAAGATGGAGAAGATCTCCACAGCCACCATGTATTTTCCCTTGGTGCTCAGATAGGCTGGGATGAAGGACACCCAAATGCTACAGAACACAAGCATGCTGAAGGTGATCAGCTTGGCTTCATTAAAAGTATCAGGCAGTTTCCTGGCAAAGAAAGCCACAGTGAAACTGATGGTGGCCAGGAGCCCCAAGTAGCCCAGGACAATGTAAAACATGGCATCTGAGCCTTCATTACATTGAACAATGATCTCTTGAACCTGCGAATGCATGTCCCACTCAGGGAAGGGAGTAGACATGATCAACCATATCATGCAGATAATAGCTTGAATACATGAGCAGAAGACAATGATGGATCCTGCCAGTCTATTTCCTAGCCATTTCCTCATCTGGTTTCCTGGCTTAGTGGCCAGGAAGGCCAAAACAACCGTGATGGTCTTGGCCAGAATACAAGAAACCGAGAGAGAGAAAATGGTGCCAAACATAATTTGCCTGAGAAAGCAAGTCACCTTCCCAGGCCGACCTATGAAGAGCAGAGAGCACAGAAAACACATCAGAAGAGAGGAAAGAAGGATGCATGTGATGTTCCTGTTGTTGGCTTTGACAATAGGGGTGTCCCAGTGCAGAATGAAGGCCAGTGCCACCAAAATGACAACTAATGAAAAGAAAAGGATCAAGGAAATCAAAACGATTCCCAAGGGTTCACCATAGGATAAATAGCTGAAACGTTTTGGAAGGCATTGGATCTTTTCTGCATTCGAATACTGATCCCCTGGGCATCTCTCACATTGGTTTGCATCTGAAATACATGAAGAAGAACAAGTCACTTCCAACTATATAGGACAATCTATAGAGTTAATTGAGAGAGATCATTGCTGGGGATGCCATTCACAAACCCCTTGACATATAATAATGCTTTCTTAAAAAGTGTACGGATTCTGGTCTGTTATTTATTCATATATATTCCTTTGAACTGCACTATTAGTGGTGGAGGACTCTGAAGAGAATTGCAACTCTCAACTAAGAAAAGAGATCAGAATAGAATGGATTTATAAAAGTGTTTAAATTAGACCCATCTTTGAAAAAGAAATCTACCAAAGGTTACCCCAATTCCATTACTCTAAATAGCATATCAAAGATGGAAAGAATGAAGAAAAGATGTGTTTGGAAGCTCTCAACTCTTAGCTGTTTTTTACTTACCTGTTTCAATTGAAATTCTTCCTTCAGAACATTGTCTACAATTGTAGCAACAAATATGTTTTCCCTCCTGAACAACTCTGCTGTACCCCTGATGGCAGCTCTCTACACATCTGGCACGGGGAGGTACCTGAAAGAAAAATGAAAAGGTTTAGGAATGAGATTCATCAAGATGTTGTGCAAGTCCTCCTTTTTATTAGTACTTTCAGGGACATGCATAATCTTCTGAAGTCAACATGTCCCAAGATGCTTTCGGAGAGTGTCCATATTTATATTAAATCTTTCTATTCCTAGGATGCATGCTGAGTTTTCTGCAAACACGTCAATTCTCATTTGTTCTTGTAGAACAAGAAAAGGAGATAGCTGAGTGCATGGGAGTCTCTGGTGGAGGATATCTAAAATGTTTCAATCCTACTAGAAATCAGATCAGATCAGAGAGGTTTTAAACCTGCAATCTAGAACAAAACGAAGGATTTCATTCTGTAGGAAATGTCATCCATTTTCATTTTGTAGGATTAAAATATCCTTGGTGTTCCTTTTTATCTGCCAGGACCCAAAATCATTAAAGACATATGGACTCACTTCTGAGCAGTCCTCACCTGTAGATAGAAATCTTAACAAAATAAAGGACTTGTTTAGCATCACTATAGAATTCAATCAAACATTCCATATTCAACTGCGACTTTGTCTTCTGGAAAAAACACCTCCTTTCTGGGAGTCCTCACTAAATTCCATCAAGTATCATTTGTATTTAGAGATTTCTCTAAAAGGGGCTCCATAGGAGTACAGCCATTTATAATAAACCTTTTCTCCTTTCAAAAAGTATCCTCTTTTTACTCCATTCATAACAGCAATACCCAATATTAAATATTAAATTGGGAAAATGCAAAATTCTGTTCATTACAAAAAATGCATATCTATTGTCTTTTAAGAAATTAGTAGCCTGTCGAGCAAACTAAATCAAACAAAAGGACACATGCATAAATATTCTTATTTCATATTAATTTCAAAATGCAACTCAGTTCCATAACGGAGTTGGAAGGGACCTTGGAGGTCTTCTACTCCAACCCCGTGCTCAAGCAGCAAACCCTATCCCATTTTAGAGAAATGGTTGTGCCATATTTCCTTAAAACCTCCAGTGTTGGAGCACCCACAACTTCTGGAGGCAAGTTATTTCAAAGATTAATTGCTCTCATTGACAGGAAATTTCTTCTTAGTCTAGGCTGCCTCTCTCCTTACTTAGTTTGCATCCATTGCTTCTTGTCCTACCCTCAGAGGCTTTGAAGAATAGCTTGACTCCCTCTTCTTTGTGGCAGCCCCTGAGATATAGGAACACTGCTATCATGTTTCCCCTAGTCCTTCTCTTCATTAAACTAGACATACCCAGTTCCTGCAACATCATATGTTTTAGCCTTCAGCCCCCAAATCATTTTTGTTGCAATTCTCGGTATGTAGAGGTCTTCAAAATGACCATCCCAAATATCTAGCAAAACCACAAGATTCCAGAATATCGTCACTGTCCTTCGCTTCTGGACTTTCAGGTCATTGGAGAAGAACATCTTCACTTCCAAATAATAGTCTACAAAATTAGAGTATGCCAAATATCCCACCTGCTGAAACTTCTGATTCCATACAATGGCACTTTCATTAATGGTGAACTTCTTCCCATCAAGAGATTTGGAGACCATCTTTCCAATCCGGACTCTCTGGAACGATTTATTGTGGAAGGAGACAAAGTTGAAGATGTCGTATCCCGGGTCAAACTCCCCTTTCTCATCAAAAAAAAATTCTTCTCCCATACTGTTATTAAAACGGGTGTTTTTCAGAAAATAGTGAAGCTGGATTTGAGGGAGAGGAAAAGTCAGAGCATTTATCCTAGTCTTTCCCAAAGTTTGGCTTTGTTCATAATCTCAACATAGTTTCTTTAATGAATCTTATCAGGATTGTAACTGAATTGCTTTCTGGTTTGATTCAGAAATCTCTTCAACCCATGGACTACAACCCATTTTAAATTTCAGTAATGTCAGATCCAACAATTTCCTAATATGTATTGATTCAACTGGAATATGTTAACATATAAAATTAAATTCATGGCATCAGATTCTTACACAGCTTATTTTTCTATTCTTGCATAAATAAACAATTGGAGGAAAGAGGCTATCCCACATAAATAAGGTAAAGTATCTATTACGTGCGATGGGAAGAAAAGGATAGCACAGGGAAGGCATTACTCTTTACCTTTTATTCTTGAATCACAGCTTTGTAGAAGTTTCCTTCACATGAATCACTTCCATAAATTAATATTACTTAGATTCTTGTAGAAACTTAATTTAGTCTTTCCAATCCTTCCAGTCCCATATCTCTAGACTGTTATATACATTTAGTACATCCAAAAGGTTACAGTGCAAATCGTTCCACCCATTGAAATTGGAAATTTTATTAATTAAGGTAAAACTCGGTCCTGTTCATATTATCTTCTAATGATTTCAGAACCAGATATGTTTCTTGCTACATGTACAAATATGAAGTGTTGGTCCATTTTACTCAATAAATCAATCAGCAGGTTTAATTGAATCCTCATTATCTAGTTTTAGGAGTTGTGCAGAAATATTTATATAGAAATATTAAAACTCCATAAGGATTCACAAACTTTTAGGGATTATCATATATGTAATATTTTTCACTATATATACACAGTGCAATGAAAGTTCCATAGCACAGTAGGTAGGGTAGCAAGAACAGAAATATTATTTACTACAAACAATAAGTAATTTGGGGAGATTCTATAATAAAGACTATGGAGACAACCTAAAAAATATTTTAATTTTGTGCATTCAAATTTTGGGAGATGTTGGGTATGAGATTTTGCACAGAAGCTCCTAAAATGTCATTAAGAAAATATTAGAATGTGGAGAAATGAGTAGATTGATGCTTCCAATTAAAGAGAAAGAACAAACTGAATATTATATGACATGGGAATTATTTTATTGATGGTTACAGACTAAAAATGGAAGTTAGAAACAAAGGAGGAGATTAGTGAAATGTAGAAAATGTGTTAAGATAGAGATGTAAACAATATGATGATTGTTGATGGTTGATGGTTATTATGACTATTAGGATTATTACATTCAATACTATTATTATATTCTTATTAGAAGATATGTAAAGAGGGAAAGATGAAGATATTTATTATGCTCAATATTACTACTGTGAGATCAGAGAATTATTATCAATGTAATGAATACTGTTGAAAATGTTGATAGTTATTGCACAAAGATATTTCTACACACTGTTGAATGGAAGATGGAATGTTTATACTATATATATATATATATATATATATATATATATATATATATATATATATATATATACATACATATATATATATATATATATATATATATATGAAGAAGCTGCTAAAATTAATAGATTTTCTCCCTCTGAAACAGCATTAAGTAACAGATCTCCAAACATAGTTCCATCTGGACTTTAAAGATAATTCTTAGATATGATTGAGCTGCAAGAGACGAGGTAGCGCAGTGGTTAGAGTGCAGTACTGCAGCTACTTCAGCTGACTGCTAGCACAGCAGATCAGTGGATCAAATCTCACCGGCTAAAGGTTGACTCAGCCTTCCATCCTTCCGAGGTGGGTAACATGAGGACCCAGATTGTTGGGGGCAATATGGTAGTTAGTATACTGTCTTTGGTGATAGCCGCCAGAGTCCTCAGAGCGAGGGCGACATAGAAATATGACTAATAAATAAATAAATTAGTTTCTCCAGACAAATATTTCCTACAGATAATTGGTTGCTGCAGAGAAACAAATCCAGAGTGTCTATCTATTGCTGCTTTCCCATCCCATCTCCTTCAGGGCTTCCATAAATGTATCTGGGAAGAGCAATGACATACCTCCCATGGCTGAAAATGCCAAAGATTTGATCCATCCTGATTCCTCAGAGGAGCTGGCTTTGCTCTTTTTGCTCTTTTTGAATGCATTGCTTGTACCGCATGTGCTGCAAGATGAACCTCATTGTAGATGTTGTAGCTCTCTCCAGACATGGTCATTTCAAACACGGAGCCAGAAGCTTCATTGAGTTTTTCCCTCCCAGTGCAGCGTTTAGCTCCTTTCCGATATGGAGGCAGTGAACAAAGAAACACAGACTCCCAGAACCAATTAACATAAGGAAAGGGATGTTCCAAAGGTTTTATTCTCTCAAGAAATTCCTGAAATCCTGGCATAGTCCTTGTGTGGAGTGAGAAGTATAGGGAACCATTGAAAGTTTGAACTAGGAGTCTCCTTTTTGATGATAACATCAAAGTGAAATCCCACTGGTAGGTCATGATCCATACTCTGTGATCTATTGGTTTCTTTTGGTAAATTTCACGAGAATAAAGCCCCCATTGTAAAATCTCCATAGATTGGACAGTCCCAGAAGCAAGGAATACAGTGACATTCTTCTGTAAAATAAGGTCTAATATTTTGCCTACACGTTCTTGAAAGACATTTTTATTTAAGAGTGCATCTTTTAAAATTGGGATCAATGCCATCCAAGCAATGCAAATATCACTCTGGAAGAGCCTTGGTTGGAGATGTTGAAAAAATACTTCCCCACTCTCGTCCTCTGAGACCAAGAGGCCAATCCAGTTCCATCCAAAATGTTTTAGTAAGTGAACAATCCCCTCATATTGCAAATTTTCATTGGGAACCATACTGAAGAAGGAAGGGAATTGCCCTTTGTCACTCAGGACTGGGTCAAAGGAGCCATAATTCAGCTGTTGGGAAGAATGATGCATAGAAAATTAAACTGAGAGTCCTTTTGTGATCATGAAGAGCATAGAGCTTTTCCATTCTCCATAGAATATTGGAGTGTACTGTGACATTATGACTTTATTGCAAAATCCCAAAGGTTGCTATCAAGTGTTACATAAAGAAAGAGATCATAAGCTTCACAATAGTAGATTCTGGGAACTCAGAACTGGGAAATGATAGCCCGGCTAAAGTTGAAAGAAGCTACGGTTTATAAAAACAAAACAAAACAACAGACTGATCTGTGAAAAATGATCATACCTGTGGAAACTTGTAGATGTTCAACATGTGGGCCATCTGGATGGAATTGAGCGAGGTGAGGTCACCAATGATAGGCAAGAAGTTCAGATTCCTTCTTCTGACACAGTTGAAGTTGATAGGACTCCCTTGTCTGAGAAACAGAAAATTTAAAACATGCTTACTGGCCTTCCAGGCATTGAAACTGTTTCGATAAATCTGCAGTGTTATTGTGATGTTGGGGAACAGCTTGGCATTCTTGTTGACCTCATCAATGGCAAAATACAAGGAAAGAGGATGCTGGGCATATTTTGGTATCATGCTGAAATGAAAGTGCAGAAGGAGAGAAAATCATATCACACACAAAAATCTAAATCAATTCTAAAATACCGTAGTGCTCAAAATTGTGGAAACCTTTTGGGAAAAGTGTATTTTCTAAAACTAGCTAATAACACCACTTTTTTTTTAGTAGTACCATAACATTCTATATCAATGGAAAGATAATTTAATCAAGAATTTAATGCAATTATTTTTATGAAGATTTGTTATTTGAATAGGAGTTACAGTATAAAGAAGAAAAGTGAAACACAGAAAAAATGAGGTATACTAAAACCTTTAGCATAAATTACAGTCTTACAAAGTTTTCCCATGGAATGATCCAAGTCTTTTTGTTCTGCAGCTGTTATAATGTGAAACTAAGATTGAATGATTGCTGGGTTTTATTGCTGGGTCGGTTCTGAGTTGTGACTAACAAGTTTCTTTAATTGGTGCCATAGTTTTCCAATTGGGTTAAGGTTTGGGCTCTTCCAGCACTGGAATATGATTATCTTGAAACTCCAAAAAAAAAGTGGTATGATTAGCCATCAAGCCTCAAAAATACACTTTTCCCAAAACTTTTCCACAATTTTGGCCACTACTGTACATAGATAATTTCAGCAATTTATCCAATAGAGATGTAACAGAAATGTATTTTAATTGCATAATTAGTATGATTCCTATTAATCAGGTGGCTCTTTCAGGAAGACCTGTACCTCTAGGCAAGGATTTTGAAGAGGTTGACTGGAAGACATTTTCCTAACAGAGAAAGTGATGTTCCTCTTTCGAAGAGATCATAGAATAAAGCCTAGCATAGCTGCCCTTCTTGCTGACTCCTCTACTTTTTGAGTGACAAAGTTGTCAGCTCGGTTGGTAAGGGACCTGTTCGATTTCCCCCTTGTTCCTGAGTTTGTCTTCCAGTTAATGTCTGGCTAAATAAAATCCCCCATTGCTATTGTGGTATATTTTGAGATACATTTGTTAACTGATTAGCAAAATGTTCATCTATTCTTTCTGCTCCATTGGGTCGCTTATAGTATATTGCAGTGGTGGGTTGCCTCCGGTTCAGACCGGTTCTAGAGAACCGGTAGTAAAACCAGCAGGAGGCTCCGCTCACTGACCCCGACATCATCAGGAAGCTCCTGCACATGCGAACCGGTAGTAAAGATAATTAGAACCCACCCCTGGTATATTCCTATGGCAACATCATTCTTTTATCTTGACCCATAAGCATTGTAGCAGGCTTTCAACCTTGGTTTTGTGTGCCCCTCTTGGTTTTGTGCATCTCTCTTGTTTTGCAATGTCATCTTCTGACAGAGGATTTATTTTCTTTGAAAGTCTGTGAACACCAGCAAATCAACCTTACCATTGGGTGGATATATGTTAATCTTGGGCAGTAAATTATATGATCGGGTCTCTGATTCAACCTTTTAGTTCATAGTTTGCTGATTTCTTGGAGCTTCCTTCTTTCATAGGAAAGGTATATTGAAGAGTTTATAAAATGATCAACTATCTTCTAGATCTTCCTAGAACTGTTTCCATGCAACTACACACTTCCATCAACATATGTCAACGTTTAAGATGGATATAAATATTCACACTGTTCTTTTGAATCTTGTCATCTTTTCTTCATTCATTCTTCACCAGCTCATAAACACCTTCATAATAATGATGTGAATTGCAGTTTCTCAGAAATGTGCCAGTTGGTATTTTATTCTTTTGAGAAACAGCTTCTAATACTTTACTAGACCCGTGAACTTGGTGGTATTTCCATTTTTGAAATGGAGAGAGGAAGAGAAAGGAGCCACTTGGAATTGGATTACCTTGATAAAGTGCTATGAAAGCTCCCAGTATTTGCTGAATGGAAAAATATTGAGAGGAAATAACCCTATTTCCCATGAACTTGGTGGCATTTCCATTTTTGAAATGTAGAGAGGAATAATCTTGGAGCATTTGTTTCAAAAATCCAAGTTTACCTTAAAATGCATCTTTAGATCTCTAGATCTCTAAGAGGGTTCGTTGTAACATATGAAAGTCCCACATGCATGTTTTCCTAAGGGCCATCTCTACGGAAGCCCTGATCAACATGCCTAACATCTGTAAATATGACAGCCAAACTAGCAGTGCCATAATTGAACCAGTATAATCCCACTTCCTACATTCTATCACTTTTCTCAGTAGTTACATTGCATTTTATTCAAAGAAGAGTGAGGCACCTACGATCCATATTCAGAAATTACTGGCATTTTTTTGAAACTCTGTGTACGTTCATCAGGATTCATAAAGGAAAAAAATCCCCCGAGTATCATTTTAGCTCCAGAGGTGGAAAATCTCCTTGGAACGTTACTGGGCTGGAGCCAGATGGATTTCAAACTCTTACTGACACTGGCAGGAAGGAAGAAGAACAGAATAAGGTTAAATGAAAGAAGACTTGAGCCATCCTTCCATCCTTTCAAATACATGGTCAACAACATAGAGCAGTCAAGTCTGCCAAAAAATCAATTGCCTTGATTAGACCTAATGGGAAACGTCCACTGAAAAGGAGGAAGATATATAAAGAATAGAATTCTTTATTGGCCAAATGTGATTGGTCACACAAGGAATTTGTCTTTGGTGCATATGCTCTCAGTGTAAATAAAGAAAAAATGAAATATATTCATCACAAATTAAATAAAAAAGTAAAAATAAAACAGAGCAGTTTCCTTGACTGTGATTTCAGTGGCCCAAGATAAATTCTGAGGGATCTTTCAAAGTGCAGCAGGAATTTCTGACTTTTTTTCTCCTTGCCATCCTTGTTCAGCTGTGATGCTGTCAAGAAACAGAACTGAAATACAGTCATTGGCAAATCAGAGGGGAAATTATAACCTTTATTCCCTAGCAATTTAGGCAAATTGTGTTTGTGTAAAATCTGTACATGGATACTGTAAGAGTTACAATTAGTTTCCCATAGCAAGTGCCATTTTCTTTCTCTTGCCTTCCAATCATCTTTGTTCTTACCTTGACCTTATACACAGAACAGTTTCAGAAACTTTTGCTTTTGAGAATTTTATTTATTTATTTTATTTATTTATTTATTTTGTTGAGTACGTATTAGATCATATATATATAAGTATAAGCATGAAAGGAACACATAAAATGAGTACAATTAAACAAAACATTAGGACAGGGACGGTAGGCACGCTGGTGCTCTTATGCACACCCCTTACAGACCTCTTAGGAATGGGGTGAGGTCAACAGTAGACAGTTTTAGGTTAAAGTTTTGGGGGATTTGGGATGAGGCCACAGAGTCAGGTAGTGCATTCCAGGCATTGACCACTCTGTTACTGAAGTCATATTTTCTGCAATCGAGTTTGGAGCGGTTCACTTTAAGTTTGTATCTATTGTGTGCTCGTGTATTGTTGTGGTTGAAGCTGAAGTAGTCATTGACAGGTAGGACATTGTAGCAGATGATTTTATGAGCTATGCTTAGGTCCTACCGAAGGCGGCATAGTTCTAAATTTTCTAAACCCAGAATTTCAAGTCTGGTGGCATAAGGGATTTTGTTGTGAGCAGAGGAGTGGAGGAATCTTCTTGTGAAATATTTCTGGACACGCTCAATTGTATTAATGTCCGATATGCAGTGCGGGTTCCAGACAGACAGATGAGCTGTATTCGAGAATTGGTCTAGCAAATGTTTTTAAATGTTTACGTTGCTTATGTCGATCTACATTATCCCTCCCATGGATGCCAACTTGTTAGGTCACAAAAAGCTTAATTACAAAGGGCTAAAAGAAAGATGTGATCTTGAAAATGTGATTAATTTAATATACAGAGAAAAGCTATAACAGTCCACTGGTCTTCCCTAAAATGAAAAAGCCAAAATAAATCGATCCTCAACTTATGGCTGCAATTGAGCCCAAAATTCCTGTTGTTAAGTGAGACATTTGTTAAGTGAATTTTGCCCCATTTTATGACCTTAAGTGGCCCTTCTGCAAAGCTCTGGTAGGACCTGAGTAATGCAAAGTATTTGGGATTGTAACAGTATGGGAAAGAAAAAATTATTTTAAAAGATAATGTAGAGCCACTGAATGTAAAAATTTGAATAGTCTATTCAGTGCACAGAGATAAGACACAAACACATGTCTGTGGGATGGGTGTGGGTGGGTGTGTATGGATGGAGATAGATAGATAGATAGATAGATAGATAGATAGATAGATAGGTAGGTAGGTAGGTAGGTAGGTAGGTAGATGTAGATAGGTATATGGGGGAGAGAGAGAGGGAGTGAGAGAGGAGAGAGAGAGAGAAGAGATAGGTAGATAGATAGATAGATAGATAGATAGATAGATAGATAGATAGATAGACAGACAGACAGACAGACAGACAGACAGACAGACAGACAGACAGACAAAATGTGGACATAATGGGTTGTGCATTACAGGTAGTCTTTGACTTACGTCCACAATTGAGCCCAAAATTTATGTTGCTAAGTGAGAAATTCGTTAAGGGAGATTTGCCCCATTTTATGACTTTTCTTGCCACGTTTGTTAAGTGAATCAGTTGTTTAAAAAAGATGATATAGTTGTTAAGTGAATCTGACTTCCCCATTGACTTTGTCGCAAAAGAGGATCACGTGACCCCCGTGACACTGCAACCGTCATAAATATGAACCAGTTGTCAAGCTTTCAAATGTAAATCGCATGACCATGGGGATGCTGTGATTATCATAAGTGAAAAATGGTCGTAAGCCACTTTTTTCAGTTCTGCTCTAACTTTGAACCGTCATTAAGTGAACTGTTGTAAGTCGAGGAGTACTTGTATTTTTGGGTTGTTTTTTTTTTAAGCACATCGTAAATTCCCACTCCAGGTCAGGGGTGAAATCCAGCAGGTTCTGACAGGTTCATGGAACACTGTTACCTTCCCACCAAAGGTGGTCCCTATTTTTCTACTTGCATTTTTCACATGCTTTCGAACTGCTAGGTTTGAAGAAGCTGGGACAAGTAATGGGAGCTCACCCCATTATGCGGCA